ATAGGTTGCGAATTTGGCCTCCAATTATGAGTACCCAAAACCTTTTAGTTTATGAGATACGAAGATTTTTGTAATTTTTTTGTCAAATGTTTTCAGAAAACTCAAATTAATAAATAACTCACAAAATATTTACTGTAGTTGGGTGCTGTCAGAGTGCTCTCAAGGATTGCGAATCTTGCCTCCAAATATTTTGGCTACTTTTCGATTTCGAGACATGACGTGTTTTTTGATTTCTTTTCAATTTTTCAGAAAACTTATGTTTTAATAAATCAAAAGATTTGAATTTCCCTACCTTGTAGTTGGTACTGGGAAAATACTCTCAGAAGTTCCAAGTTCCAAATGTTGCGTCGAAATGCGCTTGCTCTAATGCTCTTAGTTTCCGAGGTGTGACGTTTGTTATGTCTATTTAAAAATTGTTCAAAGATCTTCCTAACCCTGTAGTTGGGAGCTGTCAGAGTAATCAGGAATTCATCTGCTGAAAGTGATGTAAATAGTACTCTGCAAATACGAACGTGGAAATGGTGTGAAGCAACGTGAACGATTTCTTAATTCGAAAGTGGAATTTAACTTTCATATTTCTAGCGGAATAAAAATCTTACCTATTGATCCAGTTTTCTCTATTTGGGTTCATGCTATCAAAAAAGCGCCAATCTTAAATTGTTCTAGAAATTCAAAGAGCTGAAGGGGCATCTATTTTTTTCTTTGAAATTCGAAAGTGTTTTTTTTTAAATATTTACTTGCGTTCATGACTCTTTTCCATTCTTCGATTGGCTATATTTTTTAGAATTTGAAATTCCTAACCCTGTAGTTAGTGGCTTCCAGGTTACTCTCAGGATTTGCGCATCTTGCTTCCAAATATGACTGCTCAAATCTTTGAAGCTAGCGAGATGTGACGTTTTTTTATGGTTTTTAAAAAACCAAGAAAATTTAAATTTGAACTTTGTTAAACTTTGGCATTCCCAACCCTGTAGTTGGGTACTGTGCGAGTACTCTCAGAAGTTGACAAATTTGCGTTCAAATGCGACTGCTTATTTGTTTTTAGTTTCCGAGTTGTGATGTTTGTTATGTCATTTTGAAGTTTTTTTAAAGAACTCAACATAAAAACTTCAGAAGAACTCAACATAAAAAAGTTTAATGGTTCTTTATAATTGAAAAATTAATGTAAATTCTACATCTTCTCCGGCAAATGTGGCCCGATGGCAAAGTATGTCTGGGACGACAAACGTCCCTAGTTCGAATCCAGTCCGGCGAGGACTTGTTGTATTGCAAGATATAAAAAATTTCCTCTTGAAAGAAAGGTCATATCGTTTGTCTGCTTATTTTTTGTCGGCTTAGTTGCCACATCGTGTTTTTTTGAGATCTGAAAAATTTTCACTATATCAAGAAAATGTGATTTCTCGCTTATTGTATATAATTTCCCTTTTAATTTTTTGTAGTTTTTATTTGCTTATTTCGGCTACCATTGTGTGTTCATTTAATGCTGGCGGTCATGGGGGATTGTTAACTTTGTTAATAAATTCGAGTTCGGTTTTTTCATGCAAATAAATTTGTTTTTGGCTCAACTGGATTCTACCACAGTATTATTGGCTTAGTTGACGATTATTTTTTGAGTGCTGTTTTAATGCTGACGCTTGTATCACTCGACTTTTGTGTTTTCGTTAAACCGAACAACTCTCGACAAATTTACGGAAGTTTCACAGATTTTTAAACTTTTTTTGACGTAATGGCTTGCTTCTCATTTTTTGTCACTTAGCTTACTAAGGTTTGTTTGTATGGTAGTGCAAGTGTTGCGAAGCTCCGCTTCGTCTTTGTGTTTGAAATTTACATCGTGTATGTCAAATTGAATTCCCACATTTTGCTTATCATAAAAATGTGAGTTTTTATGAGTAAAAACAGTATTATTGGCTTAGTTGCCGCTTATTTTTTGAGTGCTGTTTTAGTGCTGACGCTTGTATCACTCGACTTTTGTGAAACCGAACAACTCTCGATAAATCTACGAAAGTTTCACAGATTTTTAAACTTTTTGATTTTTTTTGACGTAATGTATCTACCACAGTATTATTGGCTTAGTTGCCGCTTATTTTTTGAGTGCTGTTTTAATGCTGACGCTTGTATCACTCGATTTTTGTGTTTTCGTTAAACCGAACAACTCTCGACAAATCTACGAAAGTTTCACAGATTTTTAAACTTTTTGTTTTTTTTTGACGTAATGTATCTACCACAGTATTATTGGCTTAGTTGCCGCTTATTTTTTGAGTGCTGTTTTAATGCTGACGCTTGTATCACTCGACTTGTGTGTTTTCGTTAAACCGAACAACTCTCGACAAATTTACGAAAATTTCACAGATTTTTTAAACTTTGTTCTATTTTTTGACGTAATGGCTTGCTTCTCATTTTTTGTCACTTAGCTTACTAAGGTTTGTTTGTATGGTATTGCAAGTGTTCGAAGCTCCGCTTCGTCTTTGTGTTTGAAATTGACATCGTGAATGTCAAATTGAATTCCCACATTTTGCTTATCAAAAAATTGTGAGAGTTTTTATGAGTAAAAACAGTTTTATTGGCTTAGTTGCCAATTATTTTTTGAGTGCTGTTTTAATGCTGACGCTTGTATCACTCGATTTTTGTGTTTTCGTTAAACCGAACAACTCTCGACAAATCTACGAAAGTTTCACAGATTTTTAAACTTTTTTTTTTTTTTGACGTAATGTATCTACCACAGTATTATTGGCTTAGTTGCCGCTTATTTTTTGAGTGCTGTTTTAATGCTGACGCTTGTATCACTCGATTTTTGTGTTTTCGTTAAACCGGACAACTCTCGACAAATTTACGAAAGTTTCACAGATTTTTTAAACTTTGTTCTATTTTTTGACGTAATGGCTTGCTTCTCATTTTTTGTCACTTAGCTTACTAAGGTTTGTTTGTATGGTATTGCAAGTGTTCGAAGCTCCGCTTCGTCTTTGTGTTTGAAATTGACATCGTGTATGTCAAATTGAATTCCCACATTTTGCTTATCAAAAAAATGTGAGAGTTTTTATGAGTAAAAACACAGTATTATTGGCTTAGTTGCCGCTTATTTTTTGAGTGCTGTTTTAATGCTGACGCTTGTATCACTCGATTTTTGTGTTTTCGTTAAACCGAACAACTCTCGACAAATCTACGAAAGTTTCACAGATTTTTAAACTTTTTGTTTTTTTTTGACGTAATGTATCTACCACAGTATTATTGGCTTAGTTGCCGCTTATTTTTTGAGTGCTGTTTTAATGCTGACGCTTGTATCACTCGACTTGTGTGTTTTCGTTAAACCGAACAACTCTCGACAAATTTACGAAAATTTCACAGATTTTTTAAACTTTGTTCTATTTTTTGACGTAATGGCTTGCTTCTCATTTTTTGTCACTTAGCTTACTAAGGTTTGTTTGTATGGTATTGCAAGTGTTCGAAGCTCCGCTTCGTCTTTGTGTTTGAAATTGACATCGTGAATGTCAAATTGAATTCCCACATTTTGCTTATCAAAAAATTGTGAGAGTTTTTATGAGTAAAAACAGTTTTATTGGCTTAGTTGCCAATTATTTTTTGAGTGCTGTTTTAATGCTGACGCTTGTATCACTCGATTTTTGTGTTTTCGTTAAACCGAACAACTCTCGACAAATCTACGAAAGTTTCACAGATTTTTAAACTTTTTTTTTTTTGACGTAATGTATCTACCACAGTATTATTGGCTTAGTTGCCGCTTATTTTTTGAGTGCTGTTTTAATGCTGACGCTTGTATCACTCGATTTTTGTGTTTTCGTTAAACCGGACAACTCTCGACAAATTTACGAAAGTTTCACAGATTTTTTAAACTTTGTTCTATTTTTTGACGTAATGGCTTGCTTCTCATTTTTTGTCACTTAGCTTACTAAGGTTTGTTTGTATGGTATTGCAAGTGTTCGAAGCTCCGCTTCGTCTTTGTGTTTGAAATTGACATCGTGTATGTCAAATTGAATTCCCACATTTTGCTTATCAAAAAAATGTGAGAGTTTTTATGAGTAAAAACACAGTATTATTGGCTTAGTTGCCGCTTATTTTTTGAGTGCTGTTTTAATGCTGACGCTTGTATCACTCGATTTTTGTGTTTTCGTTAAACCGAACAACTCTCGACAAATCTACGAAAGTTTCACAGATTTTTATACTTTTTGTTTTTTTTGACGTAATGTATCTACCACAGTATTATTGGCTTAGTTGCCGCTTATTTTTTGAGTGCTGTTTTAATGCTGACGCTTGTATCACTCGACTTTTGTGTTTTCGTTAAACCGAACAACTCTCGACAAATTTACGAAATTTTCACAGATTTTTTAAACTTTGTTCTATTTTTTGACGTAATGGCTTGCTTCTCATTTTTTGTCACTTAGCTTACTAAGGTTTGTTTGTATGGTATCCCAAGTGTTGCGAAGCTCCGCTTCGTCTTTGTGTTTGAAACTGACATCGTGTATGTCAAATTAAATTCCGACATTTTGCTTATCATAAGAGTTTTTGCTCATCATAAATGGCGGCTTATCATAAGATATAGAGAAAATTATCTTTTTCTGGCTTCGGTTTTTGTTTTTTGGACCTATTTAGTTATTTCCAAAGAAAGAAAGATGGCTTGCTTCTCATTTTTTGTCACTTAGCTTACTAAGGTTTGTTTGTATGGTATCCCAAGTGTTGCGAAGCTCCGCTTCGTCTTTGTGTTTGAAACTGACATCGTGTATGTCAAATTGAATTCCCACATTTTGCTTATCATAAAAATGTGAGTTTTTATGAGTAAAAACACAGTATTATTGGCTTAGTTGCCGCTTATTTTTTGAGTGCTGTTTTAATGCTGACGCTTGTATCACTCGACTTTTGTGTTTTCGTTAAACCGAACAACTCTCGACAAATCTACGAAAGTTTTTAACTATTTTGTAAAGAGTTCAATCCTGTCAACAAAATGCAACCGAAACATGAGCTAACTTTAAAAAAATTTGTGTTCTTTCTGACAGGTTCAAGAAGATGCCGGATGGAAAATTTAAGATAGTAAATAAAAAAAAGGTGTTGGAGTGCATCTTCATCCAGAGAAGGGACAACCACGAGTGGGCTATTCCGGGGGGCATGGTTGAGCCGGGCACTGTAGTGTCCATGACACTGATCAAGGAGTTCAGAGAAGAGGCACTGAATGTGTGCCACAATGACAAGGAGAAGGCTGAGAAGATGACCAATAAGTTGAAGCAGACACTCTTCGCAAGTGGTTCAATAGTGAGGCTTTATTTGACCATAAATCTTAAAAAGACTCTAACGAACTCAAAATTTGACTCTAACGAACTCAAAATTTGTAATTTGTTTTCTAAAGGTCTTTTATACAAGATAATCAGCTCTTTGTGGTAAAATAATGTGATTATGACACAAGATTTTCGTGTCATTTAATCATAAGCAATAATGGCATTGGATTTATTTATGCAATGGGATCACTATGTAATATTTTCACGAGAGTTAGTGACTTTGTCTATCTTTTCTGTAACTATAAGTGGTTTAAATATTTTGAATCAAAGATATTGATGTGTATTACGCGTGGGGTTTCACTTCAGATCTACCAAGGATATGTGGATGACCCTAGGAATACAGACAACGCCTGGATGGAAACAGTGGCCAAGAATTTCCACGACGACACAGGCATCACAAATTCATTCCAGCTAGAGGGAGGAGATGACGCTTACAACTCCAAGTGGCAGGAGTGCTCATCGGAGCTGAAACTGTACGCCAGTCACAAAGAGTTCATACAGAAGACGGTGAAGAAACATGCAGCTCATTGGTAGTGGAGGTGAGGAATCACGAGGCACCGCACACATCCGCCCAACATTCTAGAACTAAGAAGTCTGTCTTGATTGTTCTCCTCTGTCTCTCGGATATCATCAGTATATCATCGATTAAACATCGAAGAGAAAATTTTAAATGAAGGCCAAAAAGTAATGCTGCAAATATGATGTTCTATTATCTTCCTTTCTTGGTTCAATATTTGTTCAATATTTACAATGCTGTTTATAGGAGAGCTGTGCTCCGACTCTTCTCAGTTTTGATTTTCAAACGCCCCTCCCCCCCCCCCCCCCCACCATACACAGATAGTATTCGCGGCATCAATTTTTGACAATCTAGAAATATTTTGAGGCAGCTGGGGTGTAGATGGGCTTTTTTTGGTCAAAAGGCAACCTCAAAAGTTCAGTATCCAAAGAAAATTGCTAAATGAGGCCACTGCGGACAATGTATCCTTTTTGTTTTTCTGTTATCTTTATCAGCATTGATTTCTCGAATACTACTACGCTATAAATAATACATATTGGTATTTAAGTGGAATTGATCGCAGTTTGAAGATAAGCTGTAAAAAATTTTAAATTTCATTTATATTGTTATGTTACATTGAAGTAATTAAGCAGTGTTCTATTTCTTTATAGAGTAAGTGAAAACAGATATAACCCACAAGCCGAATTAATTTGTAAATTAGAAATTTTCCATTATCTTTTGAAAGTAGTTAGTTAAAGGATTGTATCGAGGGATATGTCCAGAAGTAGTCGTGCCCTGGAGCAACCACCTCGGAAAAAATGCCCGAAATACATGAAATGAATGGTTCAGGTGAAAAACAATTTATGAAAACGGTCGAACCTAAATGATGTATTGGTCGAAGTTTTCCAAGTGCTTGAAAAATCTTGTTTTTGGCCTTTTTTCAAAAATTTGCATGCGGCGCAGAAATTTTGGTCAAATTAGGGTCTTTACAGTGGTTTAAGAGCTAAGAAATTCAATTTGGTCGACAAAATTTTTTTGAAAATCCCGCCCTTCCAGAAATTCCTAGATCTGCGCCTGATACTAAGCCTTTATTCGATTATGAGTCGCATATTTCATTGCATTGCCTAGTGTCATAACAATGTTTCTATTGTGGGATTGCCGCACACTTTATAAGCGTTAGCTTACAACGCTGATTTAAATTATCAGGGCAAAACAAGTAAATCTCGAAATTCATAACGCGTTTTGCTCAATTGTCTTGGGAGTTAGGAAATTAGGCGATAAGCAAATTAGACGGATCCAATAAAACGGAATTAAGGCGTTAAATTGTTTTTGCAAAACTAGCATTTAGATGGAAAGCAAAGGGCTAACAAAACTTACTGCTAAAAACAAGTTTTCGTAATTACAGAAATAGTATATGATCCCATTGCAATTCGAAAATTTTGTCACAATCGATTTATAAAACGTTAATCTCAATACTGTAAAACTTTTTTGAAATGCATAAATTATACAATTACGGTATAAGAAAATTGCGGCATGTGAAAAGTTGATTTGCATTTAAGAAAGCTCGAACGAAAGTTAATTGTAGTCAGTAAACAAATTTCAGTCACGAACAAAACAATTACGTCCAATTTCCCACATTTGTAATTTTGCATCGACGTCTAAATTTCAGAAACGAACTATACAATTACGTCCAATTTCCCGAATTTGTAATTTTGCATCGAAGTCTAAATTTCAGAAAAAAAACAATACAATTACGTCCAATTTCTCAAATTTGTAATTTTGCATCGAAGTCTATATTTCGTTTTTGTTGGTCACGTCTAATTTGCTTTTCGTCTAATTTCCTAGGCCCCTTTGTATTGACTAAGACAAAAAAATTGATGAGGACAAAACATAATTAATACGGCGCATTTTTTGCAATAATCGGGCCCAATCTCTGAGCTTCATATAGAGCCCAACAGCGTTTATGAAGGTATAATCTCCCAAAAATTCAGTATCACAAGTAAATATGTAAATATTGTTTTCAAATAAAATATTGGTATTTTATGTTAAAAAAATGACTTTTTTGACTATCAAATTAATTTCATCTGACTAAATTGACATGGTTAATAACTTCCTAATAACACTTGGACTAATAGGAGACTAATTTTGATGTAATTTTGTTAGGATTTAGACCGGTTGTTTTGGTGCAATTTTCCATTGACTAAAAAAACCAAAAAATGACTCATTTTTGGGGTGGAACATTGTACCCGAATTCGCGAAATTTTGATCTTGCTAAAACTCTAAACACGTTTCTTCATCATTCTTTGTCTAATGTCAACCCAATCTGATAAAAATTCGTGTTGATTTTCTCCGGATAGTTTTAATCAGCACTTAATTTCCAAGTTAGATTTTTTGAAACTAATTTAGTGCAATGTTTAAAAGCAGGGCATGGTATATGTTAGCGCATGAGGCCATGCTTCCCTTGCAATTTTCGAAAACATTTTTGGCAAAGTTTGCTGAGTTTTTGCTGAAGTATGCAAAGCACATGTCTCATTCTATGTTGAAATCTGCAGCAAAATGACTATCACTGCTACATCAATTTATCAAAAACGATTTGAGGAATTACTGTTACCATTTATAGAAGGCATGAAAGAATAGGTCTCTAGCGTAACTGTATAAGCATTAACACCACTATAAAAGAAATGCATAAGGATTTTTCTCGACAATTGTATAACTTTTTTAAAAAATTATCCAAAACGATTGAGATTCGACTAAAACGGCTATGATATGATATCTCTTATTTCCTGCTTACGAAGATATAGCCTGCTTAACATATGGGTATGGTATATAAAAGCGCATGAGGCAATTTTGAAAACATTTTTGGCAAAGTTTGCTGAGTCTTTGCTGAAGCATGCAAAGCACATGTCTAATTCTGTTGAAAACTGCAGCCAAAATACTATCACTGCTACATCAATTTTTCAAAAATGATTTGAAGAATTACTGTTACCATTTTTAGAAGGCATGAAAAAATAGGTCTCTAGCGTAACTGCATAATCATCAACACCGCTATCAAAGAAATGCAAAAGGATTTTTCGACAATTGTATAACTTTTTTTAAAATTATCCAAAACGATTGAGATGCGACGAAAACGGCTACGATATGATGTCTCATTTATCCTGCTTACGCCGGCCTGCCAATATCTAGATAAACAATGGTCCGACAACCGTTAAAATGATGTTTCAGTTTTCCGAATGAATCGTTGAAATCGTTACTTATATTACGTTGTCTATTTTTCCCCACCTTCAGTCGCAAAAAAGAATGATCATTTGTTCTGAAGCTTAAGGCTTCGAGTGCATTTTTTGCCAAAAACCAGGTGCAATGGGTAGTAGGTCAGTAAAACGAAGTATGAGCAACCCGTAAACGTGCAGACCAGATCAGTAAACCGAAAATGAAATTACTTGATCAGTAAACAACTTTTATCGGGTTAACAACTTGTTTAACAGAATCAACTGTATCTTGGTTCATAATAAAGTCAAACTTTAAGCCTGTCCAACACTTAGCCATGAGGCGAAGAATACGCCTGGGACGCCCAAGGTCGTGGGTTCAAATCTGGCCAGCAAAAAATGTCGGACTTTAATTTGTCTGCTTTTATTTTGTCGGCTAAATTGCCACATCGCAGAATTGATTGTTTTATGCAATTTTCAATGTTGATTTTTGTGTTTTGAGTTACTTGTGCAATTTTTTGTTACTAGACTTCACTTATATTTTGTTTTGCTGTTTTTTTTGCTTAAAAACTATTTTCGGCTTAAATGATTTCAACCTTATGTTATCGGCTTTGTGACCTAATTTGCGGTCATTCAAGGGAAGGTAAAGTATTATGCTTCATTCCGGATCGCATTGAATGCTGAAGTTATTAGAATAAAATTTAAAGCTCAGTTTTTCATGAAAAAAAAAAACATTGTGTTGGTTCTACGGGAAACTTAAAGTTTCGCCAGCTTAGTTGCCGCTTGTTAATTAGTTTCTGAATTTTTATTAATTGCTCTGCTTCGCCTCTGCGTCAAAGTAGCGTTTTTTATTAATTAAAGATGCCAGGAATTATGCGCAACATTGTTGTAAATTATGTCACACAGCTAAGAAATTGAAGTATTGCAGTCAATCTGTGGAAAGTTTTTCAATTTGATTCCTTGATAGATTTTTCCATAGCGGAGTTGGTGACGCAACTGGTTATGACGCAACTGGTTAAGTAAAAGTTCAGTAATTGTTACGTAATTGTTTCATAGTTTGATTCACTGATATGGTAATTTACCGATACATCGACTTACTGCACGCACACGGCAACAATAATACCCCGTACCAAGTCTTGAAGTTATTGGATATTGCCTGAAAAAAAAAAACATTTTGTGCTCCGTGTGAGACTAAAACGTCTCCGAAAAACAAGCATCCAAACTCTAGGTATAAAAGAGTCCGAGAACCTTGAATGGAATGATCATGATTTAATTTGGCTGTCTTTGAAATGCTTCTTCAAATTAATTCCTTCGATTCATCTTTCAACCCTGCTTTATTATAATTTTATCTGCTTTAAGTGTCAATCAACAAAAAGAAGACACCTTGTTAAGTCTGGTTGATTTGATTTTTTATTTTCTCTTGAGCAGAACTTTTTAACCCTACAATGTTATTTTTTCAAGTTTTCTTTGTGATTTTTTGGCATAAGTTCATTGACACTTTTCCAACTATCGTCTGTTGGCTATCTTTATCGCTAGCTAAGCTGATGGCTGTCCCGTTTATGTTTTATCTTTAAAAAAGCGGAAAACTTATATACCTTAAACCTGATTATTGTTTTCAATGAGTTTAAGATGATCCATCGTTCAATTTCAATCTTGCTTCTTGTTATTAGCAAGGAAATTGCAATCAGGTACTACTTTTTTCTTAAAATGTTTGATCCCAGAATTGTTTTATTTTCTAATAAGTTTCGTCAGTTACTCATTTTCCTGTAATTTAATCTGGGTTTTTTGCTTTTTTCGTCTCAATCAATTTTGTCCAAAGCATAAGCGGTAAGCGAGGGTATTAGAATCGGGTACAAGACTTTTTACTCGTAAACAACTGTGTAAACAACTGAAAAAGATTTTAAGATGTACGTTGATTTTTTTGCCGGCTTTATTGATTTCGACCCAAATTTTGTCGGCTTACTTGCCGGGTAATCAATGCTGCATTTTTTGGTAGTTATTTTGTTTCTTTTTTCTTTATTTTCATGATCGTAAAGAGTTCATGATTTTCTGGTATTCATAGGCACCAAAATTTTATCTTAGAAAAAAAAACATTTTAATTGTCTGCTAGAATTTTTTTCAAAAAAAATATTTAGTTTTTTTTCGGATGCATGATTTCCGATTTTTTTTGTTCTAAAAGTGCGTAAAGCTAGTTGCAGTTTTGATTAGTTGTGTGTGTTTTAGGTTTAAACAATTTTATTTTGAAATTGACTCAAGTTGATTGTTAAACGTATTGTTTCAATTTTGTCAACTTGTTTCCATTTTTTTGTCCGCAAAGGAATATGGCGGCAATTTGTGCACGAGCTCTTTTACCGTTGCGTATAAATTTCTTAACTGATAGTTCTTGCGGTAATTGCGTTTTTTCATAGGCTTTCAGAGTTTTTTTAGATTTTCTGCAATTTCTTTTTTGTGGAAATTGTTATTGGATATGGGGATAGTTTGGTTGCAAGATTTA